CACACCAAACATGTTGCTCATTTTTTAAATTCAAATATAATATGCTACTGATCATTATTTTCAAATGATGTAAATATATGTATAGATGTTGGGATTATACCTCTAGACCCGGCCCAGTGGAGTGGGTATATTGAGTCTAACCTACTTGGAATAGCAAGGAGTTGAGAAAGAAGAGAGAGGGCGAGGTAGCGAACGACTCATGAGTAATATAATGTTATAGAGAGTAGTTGACCGGCGTTCATGAGAAAAAGCAATTGTGTGGGGCAAAGTGAAATTCAAGAATGGCGTTATAGCATTATTGTATTGTCACACACACACACACACACACACACACACACACACACACACACATATATATATATATATATATATATTGGTTCCTGTGAGAACAGGTCTTCCCGTGCGTCAGTGCTGCATACACCATTAGGTATGCATAAATGCACCATACAGTGTTTGAGAATACACCAGAATGAAATGTCAAAAAATGCACCACAAAAAAAAAAAAAAAATACACCACACATAATGGTGTATTTTCGAACACTATGTGGTGCATTTATGCATACCAAATGGTGTATACCGCACTAACCACACGGGAAAACCTGTTCTCACAGGAACCTGCCTATATATATATATATATATATATATATATATATATATATATATATATGTATATATATTGAAATGGTCCCTTGACTATAGCGAAATTACCAATTTGATCCTTTACTATTTTTTTTTGATCAATTAAGTCCCTCAACATTAAAAAATCTTAACCAATTTGGTCCTCCGTTTGTTTGAGCGTTAGACAACCGTTAACTTGGGACCAAATTGGTAATTCGCTATAGTCAAGGGACCATTTTGGTAATTAACTTTAAGGGTGGGCAATTCGGTTCAGTTTTCTCGAACCGAACCATACCAAACTAGTTAGATTTGGTAATATACCGAACAATAGAACAGTAATAGATTCTTGTATACCGAACGGTTCCGTAAAAACTCGGACCGAACTGAATTGTTCTGTAAAAATCGAACCGAACCAAATACGGTTTGAACTTTGGATTGCAATGTTATTATATATTAGACTTTGGATATGAACTATGTAAACACCACAACACATAATATATAACTTTTGATAACAAACCATAAAGAAACCAAATAAAACATTTACGAGATATACCTGTGAGAATATGAGCCAAACGGCAGAGCAAGCAACAAAGGACTTGGATTTACTTTTTATTTATTTATTTATATATTTATTTATTATTACTATATTTTAAAAAAATCAAACGGTATTCGGTTCTATTCAATTTTTTACCGAACAATTCGGATCGGTTTTTTATCGAACCGTTCGATATACAAGAATCCAATACCGTTCGGTTGTTCGGTATATTACCGAACTAAACTAGTTCGGTACGGTTCGAGAATACTAAACCAAATTGCCTGCCCCTAAAGTTAATTACCAAAATGGTCCCTTGACTATAGCGAAATTACTAATTTGGTCCCAAGTTAACGGATGACTAGCGGTCAAACAAACGGAGGACCAAATTGGTAAAGATTTTTAAAGTTGAGGGACTTAATTGATTAAAAAAATAGTCAAAGACCAAATTGGTAATTTCGCTATAGTCAAGGGACCATTTCATTAATTAACTCTAATATCTATTGTTATAGTATGTTTTCAACTGTACATTTAGATTTTAACATAATTATAATGTACTTAATTATTATTTATTTTTAGAATAAATTTTATTGAAACAATGTATTATTCAAATTTTTATTTAATTTATAATTATTATGAAACTAGTTTTTTAAGCACATTGCGCGATTGGGATAATGCCCAATGTTTTTTTTTTTTTTTAAAAAAAATAAGTACTTTAAAGTATATCAAGGCAAGAATATATTGGAATTGTTCATGCATAGATAATTGAATGTTGAATTTTTGTATTTAAATAGGTAATTCTAAGTTTACAAATGCAAGATTATATAGTCAAGATTGATTATAATTGTCAATCAAATAATTGTATAGGTATGGTTGAAACCAAATACGGGACATAAGGGAGGGTAAATAAAAATTAGGGCATAAAATATTAAATATATACTAATATTGAAGAGCTAAATGCTGATTGTCAAACAAGGATATTGCGAGGTAATTTTCCACTTCAATTTGTTCGGTGATTTGAATACTCTTTTTTGTCAATAAATCCCCCAAGTAGTTAATATGTTAGGAATAAATTGTAAATTTCGATGAGCTGAATGTTTTTTTGAAAAATCAAGTAGTCCCCAATTGTATTCTATTTGAGTCAGGTTGAGTCTACACAGTATGGTGCACCCATATCATGCAACCCATGTACAAGTCTGGAAGATCATAATTTATTTGAAGAAGTTTAGCGGGATTATGGCTTAACACAATTATGATGCGGATAAGTCACCAAGAACCGATGAGATGATGGGATTTCAAATTCAAAATAATAAATTCAATCAGATTACAGAACTTGAGAACGCTAGAGTCCTATAGGAGAAATAACATAATAGTCTCCTACTATTCAGGCTAGGACTATTGACTAAAATACAACCAATAATATTAAAGCATAATATACACATAAAATATTAATATTGCTAACACACCCCCTCAAGCACAAGGGTGGATGCTAACCACATTGAGCTTGTCCCTCAGAGAATGAAAACGCGGAGCTGGAAGGGGTTTGGTGAAGATGTCAGCAAGCTAGTCCTTGGTTGAATTGAAGTTGACGACGAACTCCCCCGAAGAAACTTTATCGCGGACAAAGTGAAAATCAATCTCGACATGCTTCGTTCTGGCGTGGAACACAGGATTAGCGGCTAAGTATGTTGCCCCTAGATTATCACACCATAATGTAGCAGGATCTCCAGTATGTAGACCCAACTCCCGGAGTAAGGATACGACCTAGGTAACTTCAGCAGCTACGTCGGTAAGATCTTTGTACTCGGCCTCTGTTGAGGAGCGTGCAACCGTGCGCTGCTTCTGAGATAGCCAGGAGATGAGGTTAGTCCCAAGGAAGACCGCATAACCACTGGTGGATTTTCGGTCTATAGTACAGCCGGCCCAATCTGAGTCTGAAAATGCATGTATAGCGGAAGACGATGATGGAGATAGACGTAGCCCGTAGTCGAGAGTGCCTTTTACAAACCGGAGGACACGTTTGAGAAGACCCCAATGATCCTGTGTGGGGGAATACATGAACTGACAAAGCCTGTTAACTGAAAATGAAAGATCTGGCCGAGTAATGGTCAAGTACTGCAGAGCCCCTACTATCCGGCGGTATTGAGTCGAATTGTCGAACGGGTCAAGTGTTGGTGTAGCCGGTTGAGTGACTGCAGCCGGAGTAGCCAAGGGTTTACAGTCGGTCATACCCGCACGTGAGAGAACATCAGCCATATACCTCCGTTGAGACAATAGGAAGCCACCATCATCTGACAAAGTCTCAATGCCTAGGAAGAAGGTGGGCTTGCCCAAGTCCCGGATCTTGAACGTAGATGAGAGACGCCGTAAAAGGGAATCAATTAACGCTGAGTCGTTGCCGAACATAATAATATCGTCTACGTAGACGAGTAAGAACACCCTGGAATCACCGTCGGTGTAGTGAAATAACGACACATCAGTTTTGGAGGCAAGGAAACCTGTTGATATTAGGAACTCATGTAGTCGCTTGAACCAAGCCCGAGGAGCCTGTTTCAAGCCATAAAGAAAACGCTGTAAGTGGCACACGTGATCCGGATGTGCAGGATCCTCATATCCCGATGACTGCTTCATGTAAACCGTCTCGGATAGATGCCCATTTAGAAAGGCATTGTGGACATCAAGCTGTCGCATGGTCCATTTGTGAGACACTGCAAGAGAAAATAATATGCGAACAGTGGTTGGTTTAACAACCGGACTGAACGTGTCAAAAAAATCTTCACCAGCCACTTGGTTGAACCCTTTGGCAACCAGGCGCGCTTTGTAGCGCTCTATTGAGCCATCAGCTTTACGCTTGGTGCGAAAAACCCACTTGCAGCCTATGACATTCATGTGCGGTGTTGCCGGGACCAGGTTCCAGGTGTTGTTATGCAGTAGTGCATTAAACTCCTGGTCTATGGCATCCCGCCATTGCGGATGTCCAACTGCTTGGGAGTAACATGTGGGATCTGTGGTGACAGTGAGTGCCTGAAACTGCTCATCTGTTCCACGAGTCTTACGCCAGGTGCGCATGACATGCCCTTCGCTCTGGGATGATTTAGTAGTGGTCTTCCGTTTTCTCCAAGTTGGAGCTGGGGCAGCCTCTTTAGCCATTTGAGGCGGTTCCTGTGCCATGGGTAACTCCATTGGCGGTGGTGGAGCCGGAGTATTAACAACAACAGGACTTGAACCCCAGGGTGTATTGATAGGTTGCTCATCAGTAACCTGTAGAGAAGCCTGCATAGAAAAGGGGAAAGTGGACTCATCAAACCGGACATGACGGCAGCTAAAGATCTTTCCCGTGGATAAGTCTAAGCAGCGGTAACCCCTATAAGAGACTGGGTAACCTAAGAAGACGCATGGTGCAGACCGATATTCCATTTTATAGCGATTGTAGGGCCGCAAATAGGGATAACAGCGGCAACCGAAGACACGGAAAAAGTTATATGTGGGTTAGGTGTTATATAAACGAGAATAGGGCGTTTGAACTGTATGGCTGAAGATGGCAAGTAGTTGATTAAATGGGCTGCTGTTTCAAAAGCATAATCCCAATATTGAAGGGGAGTTGAGCTTTCAGCTAATAAAGCTAAGCCGGTTTCGACAATGTGTCGGTTCCGGCGCTCAACACGACCATTTTGATCGTGTGTATAGGCGCAAGACTGCCTGTGAGTTATGCCAAGAGACTCGAAAACTGTGTGTAATCGGCGATATTCGCCGCCCAAGTCAGACTGAATGGCTTTGATAGAACGGGAAAACCGCCGTTCTACCATTGCCCGAAATAAATTGAACGTTTTATATATGTCTGATTTTAATCTTAGCGGATAAAACCAGCAAAACCGCGAGTAATCGTCTACAAAAAGGACAAAGTAACGAAAACCCGAATTACTGATAACAGAAGACGGACCCCAGATGTCCGTGTACAATAAATCTAAAATATTTTAACTAGTGTTTGAAACTCTATCTAGTGGAAAACGTGCTGATTTTCCGAGTTGGCATGCGGTGCACATTCTTGACGAACTTGTTTTATTTGGCAAAACTGAGCAGCTTTTTAAGACACGCTGGAGGACTTCATGGTGAGGGTGACCCAACCGTTGATGCCACACCTGTGACGACGCTCGGGCGGAGAGAAACACAAAGTGAGACCGGTGAACCAGTAGCTTGTATAACCCGCCCGAGGTTGACCCTTTAAGTAGAATTGTTTGGGTGCTGGAATCCTTCACAAGAAACAAATCTTTATGAAATTCGAAAAACACATCGTTTTCATTAGCAAAACGATAAACAGAAAGCAATGGTAAAGTCAGATTCGGGACATGTAAGATATTTGACATTTGTAGATTTTTAAACCGAGATGGGATTACTGCATGACCCACACGGGAAACATCCAAACCTGCGCCGTTGCCAACTCTGAGTACGTCCCCGCCATTGTACGCCTCGAAATGGTGCAACATCTGTTCATCCGGAGTTGCATGAGACGAGGCACCCGTGTCCGGGTACCAAGCATCGGCTACCTGAGGTTCACCGGCCATTGCAATATTAGCCTGACCTGCATTCAGTTGTGGACGCGCCGTATATCGTTTAAAACAATACATGGCCGTATGGCCGTGTGATCTGCAGATTTGGCAACGAGGTGTGCCGCCGCGCCCTCGTACGTTGCTGTTCCCCCTGCCACAACCATTCCGTCCGCGGCCGCCGGAACCACTGCGGCCACCCGATCCGTGATCGCCGCTATTTCTGCCATGCCCCGCAAAGAACGCCGACGGACTGCCTCCTGCGCCGGACTCGACTGCAAAGTCATCAGAGTGGATAAACTCCTGCGCCTGTAGATGATCGACGAGTTGCGACAAGGAGACGGGGCTGCCAGAGACAGTGAGCGAGCTGGCCATCGCTCGAAATTCTGGTCGTAGTCCACGCAGCACGTATAGGATTTGTTCATCCGGAGACAGTGGACGTCCGGCCAGCGCGAGTGCTTCAACAATAGTCTGGGCTTTGCCAAGATATTCCGCCGGTGAGCTTCCTCCCTGGCGCAAAGTTTGAAACTGCCCGAGAAGACTCAGACAGCGGGCTCGGGTGGTTGATGCCAATGCGGATGTGACCGACTCCCAGACTTCTTTGACAGTGTTCCGGCCGAGCGCGTGATGCATGACTTCGTCCGAGAATGAGGAAATCAGCAGTGATAAAATTGATTGGTCCTATTGGACCCAGGCAGCATGCGCGGGATTCGGAGTCGTGGTTGTCGTTGTCGCGGCATCACCGGAGGCCAAGGTGACGGAGATAGTCTCCGGAGGACACGGGAGACTACCATCAATATATCCCAGTAGTCCTTGGCCACGGAGAAAAGGGAGAAGTTGTGTTCTCCAGAAGAGGTAATTGCACATTGTTAATTTCATAGAAACAAAATGATGCGCAGCTGAGAGTGGGTTTGGTGTCGCCGGCACAGTGGGTACGGCGGGGATGATTGGTTGTTCAGATGAATTTGAAGCCATCGATAGAGTTGTGAGAGAGAGCGGAAACGAATAGGAAAGAGAATCGTAGTCCTATCGCAACTGATACCAGATGAGATGATGGGATTTCAAATTCAAAATAATAAATTCAATCAGATTACAGAACATGAGAACGCTAGAGTCCTATAGGAGAAATAACATAATAGTCTCCTACTATTCAGGCTAGGACTATTGACTAAAATACAACCAATAATATTAAAGCATAATATACACATAAAATATTAATATTGCTAACAGAACCATGCTAGAAGAGTTGGATGATACGCGTGTGAGCTATGTCAAATGATCCTAAGTTCAAATCTCAAGTAAAGAATTTTTACCTTGCTTGGAAGACTATGGACGTCGTATGGGGTACTAACCAGTACCATATGGAAGACTAGCTAAATCGTATTGGAGACTAACCAACATGGGAGACTAGCTAAATCGTATTGGAGACTAGCTAGCTTGGGAGACTAACCAAGATGGAGACTAGCTAGCTTGGGAGACTAACCAAAATCGAGACTAGCTAGCTTGGGAGACTAACCAAGATGGAGACTAGCTAGCTTGGGAGACTATCGTATTGGAGACTAACCAACATGGGAGACTAGCTAAATCGTATTGGAGACTAGCTAAATCGTATTGGAGACTAACCAAAATGGAGACTAGCTAGCTTGGGAGACTAACCAAGATGGAGACTAGCTAGCTTGGGAGACTAACAAAGAAGGAGACTAGCTAGCTTGGGAGACTAACCCAAGAAGGAGACTAGCTAGCTTGGGAGACTAACCTCAAGAAGGAGACTAACCAAGTTGGAGACTAAGTAAAAAGGATAATAACCAAGTTGAATGCACAAGTCTCACTGAAGCCATACACCAGATGAAGAAACACACCAAGTAAGGTGAACCAAGCACAAAGAGCATCTCACCATACACAAACTATGAAGTTTTTACAGAGGTTCCAATATATCATTCTACATGGACTTTCAAGGAGAAAATAACTGATATATTTTCATCTGAACATCATGTAGGAACCGTTGGTAGAAAACAAATAATAATCAAATAAAAAATTGACTATTATTTTCTGGAAAGAAGGGAAGAAAAATTTGAAGAAAATTGGCTAGTGTTTGGTGTTGGGTTTTTGCAAGAGTCAAGTGTGCACTCTTTCCTTAAAACCTTATTTGCCACCTCCCGTAGATGCTAGGAGCGTTGTGGCCTAGGCTTCCCAGGATAAAACTTGCTATGATCCAATGTTTGAGCATTCAAACAAAGGATCCGGCGAGCAAGACAATGGCTATGAACACAGTATGGCTTAAAGAAAGAGTAGAAGCAGAGAGGTTTTGAGGCTAAAAGATGAACTTTCGTGTTCTATGTTTCTGTGTGTAAAACTCTACTGCCTCTAGCCTCTCTTATATAGGGTTGAAGGAGCCAATAGCCTTTATTATGGCAATTAAAAATGACATTAAAGTTGCCTTCCAACAGCTATAACAGCAGGCCACTACCTGGGAATTGAATTCAGAATTCAAAATTGGAATTAATAGACCTATTAATTCCATAACAGATGATTCAATCCCCTCAACAGTCACAACTTTCGGGTTCCTGACCGTTAGCGTACACAGGGTTCGGTCTCAACTTTCGACCTCATCCAGTTTCGGCCCTTGCACCTTTCGTCAGGTGCGCACACGAGCTCGGGCTTGAATCAAGCCTTTTTCAATCTCTGCTAGTTGGAATTTGATTTGCACCCCCCCCCCCCCCCCCCGCGCGAGAGAGCCTCTATGCTATACAATTCTACAAGCTTCAAAAGAGCTCTTGTATATAAGGGGGGAAAATCTTCATTTCAAAGCAATGTGGGACAAAAGCACACTTTTTCCCTTCATTTTCCAACTCAAATGGGTCTACTTTGAGAATCAATATCTCATTCACCCATTATCCGTTTTGAGCGTACAATATATCGATCTCTTCGTCTCACTACGAAGAATCCGAATCCACTTTAACCCGACCCAAATCGGAAGTGGACCCCACTGATAATTGTACCACAAAATAGCCACTTAACATGCCATTTTATGCCATTTTTAGCTATTTTTCCAACAATCCCCCACATGAATGAAAAATTGATTTTCGGGGTATTTTGAAATTGGAAACAACTGTGTTCAAACGGTCGATCCCTGCATAGGATAGGTAGGGAGTCACTATACCCTTTGAACCTTCCCTCGTAAAGACATGTTTACTCTACTGGCTGTACGGTAGAACGCGATGTCTTTGAACCGACTGCCGTTTGTGTAGACGATGACATATCTCACACAGGAATCTCCCAACCATGCTCTTGCTCTCATGAGTGTGCCCGTTTTGGTCGTGGGTCACCGTTCCTGGTTCTGCGAGAGTTTCTAAAGAATTATGCCCAACAATTCTCCTTTGAAGCGACCCTCACTTCTCTCTAACATAGGTGATTCTTTCTCGAGTATCCCACATACTCAAGAATCATTAAAGCATTAATATGCTAGCCTCTTGCGGGAGTCACTGTTTTAACGAGGAGTGGTAGGGAGTCCGAGACCCCTACAGTGACGCGCTCCGTTCTATAATTTAGTTGTCCCATTGAACCTAGGTGCCAGCTAGGTTGGGTATCCACTATAGAACTTTTTAGTCCAAGGGCAGTAGACCCATTCCTCATGTCAACTTCTCCACAACTTCTCTTCCTAACCCTTTGGTCAGCGGATCCGCTATATTGTCTTTTGACTTTACGTAGTCAATCGAGACAACACCAGTTGTGAGCAGTTGTCTAATGGTATTATGTCTACGACGCACATGTCTAGACTTACCATTATACATATGACTCTGTACTCTCCCAATTGTGGCTTGACTATCGCAATGCACACATATTGGAGGTACCGGTCTTTCCCAATTAGGAATATCCTCTATAAAATGGCTTAGCCATTCAGCCTCTTCACAACCTTTGTCCAAGGCTATCAGCTCAGATTCCATCATGGATCTAGCTATCACAGTTTGCTTAGAGGATTTCCATGCAACGGCTGCACCGGCTAGTGTAAACACGTAGCCACTCGTGGACTTAGAGTCCTTAATATCAGATATCCAATTCGCGTCGCTATACCCTTCAAGTACAGCGGGATATCTCCCGTAGTGCAGTCCAAGATCACGAGTATACCTCAAGTATCTCATAACCTTTACTATTGCCTTCCAGTGCATAGCACCGGGGTTACTCGTATATCTACTGAGCTTACTAACCGCATAGGCAATATCCGGCCTAGTACAGCTCATAAGATACATCAAACTACCAATAACCTGAGCATATTCCACTTGTGAAATACCTTCTCCGTGGTTCTTGGTTAGATGAATGTTTGTATCAAATGGTGTCCTAGCTACTTGACTATCATCCTTGTTAAATTTCTCAAGGATTTTGTCAATATAATGTGATTGGCTCAACACGAGACCATCAGGTCTTCTAATGATTCTAATCCCGAGGATTAAATCGGCCAAACCCATATCCTTCATGTCAAATCTCGTATTTAACATGTTTTTGGTAGACTTGATCATCTGATCATTACTACCAACGATGAGAATATCATCGACATATAAACAAAGGATGACGTAGCCGTCTATCGTTTCCTTAACGTAGACGCATTTGTCACTTTCGTTTATTTTAAACCCGTTAGTTAACATCGCATGGTCAAACTTCTCGTGCCACTGCTTAGGCGCTTGTTTTAAACCATAAAGCGATTTAACCAACTTACACACTTTCCTCTCTTGGCCCGGAACCATGAACCCTTCGGGTTGTTCCATATAGATTTCCTCATCTAATTCGCCATTTAGGAAAGCGGTCTTCACATCCATTTGATGAACTTCCAAGTTCCGCAACGCGGCTATGGCAAGTATCATCCTAATGGAGTTTATTCTCGTCACGGGAGAATACGTGTCGAAGTAATCGAGGCCCTCGCGTTGCTTGTAACCCTTGATTACAAGCCTAGCCTTATACTTCTCGATGGAACCGTCCGGTTTCATCTTCCTTTTAAAGACCCACTTGGATCCTAAGGGTTTACTACCCGGAGGAAGATCAACCAGTTCCCAAGTGTGATTCTGTAGAATAGAATCCACTTCACTCTTTATAGCCTCTTTCCACATTGGTCCTTCCGTAGAAGTCACGGCTTCTACATACGTTCGAGGCTCGTTCTCTATCAAGCAAGATAGAAAATCGGGTTCATTTTCTAATAAACAAGTTAGAGTACCCGAATCGTACTCTAACAAGTAAGTTAGAAAATCAGGACCGAATGATTTTCCAACTCTCGCCCGCTTACTGCGTCTCGGCTCGAGCTCGGGTTCTCTCTCGGATTCCCCACTATCATTATCCATAGTTTCGTCAAACGTTCGTTTTGACGTACTTGGTCCCTCGTTGGACCT